CNNCNNCAACAACAACAACAACAACAACAACAACAACAACAACAACAACAACAACAACAACAACAACAATAATAATAATAATAATACTAATAATAATAATAATAAAAATAATAATAATAATATCCATTTATAAGCAACGGAGAGAGAAAAAACACATCTCTCTTTGACTTTATGTGACTTGACTTTGTGCATGACTCTATGCTTCATTTCAATTTTATAGTATTTATTAAAATTTGTAACCAACATTCCAATGAAAATTTCAATATTCCAATACTATTTACTCCTTTGGAATTTTCAGTTTGATCTTAACAGAAATTTCAACAAAATATTTCATACGAAATAGTTTTTCATTAGATTTTTCGTTGAATTTTGATGATTCCAACTACCAAAATTTCCATGGTAAAAAATATGGACTAAGATAAAAGAATTCTGACAGAAATTATAAATTCCAGTGATAATAAATGGTTGAAAAACTGACCATTGAAATCATCAAATTTATACTATGCACTAAGTACACCTTAATTTTTCCCATTGCCCATGCTACAAAGTCCATAGTACCTATCCAAACATGTCATCATGCAATAACCCCTCAAATCTTAACACCAAACACTACTATAAATATATACCCAAGCAATTCACCTCTAATTAACCTACCCACAAAACCCTAACAATGCTCTCTTTGCCCAAACCAATCTCCTCACTTCCCATCTTCCTCCTAATCTCCCTCCTCTTGGCACGTGCGCACGCAACCACTTTCACCGTCCGCAACAACTGCCCCTTCATGGTTTGGGCAGCCTCCGTCCCTGTCGACAGACGTGGACCATCAACGTCCCCGCTGGCACCAGTGGAGTCCGTATATGGGCCCGGACTGGATGCTCGTTCGATGAGTCGGGCCATGGCCAATGCCAGACGAGCGACTGCAACAGGCAACTGCAGTGCCAGGGCTACGACGCGTCCCGCAACACCCTAGTAGAATACGCGCTCAACCAATTCAACAATCTCGACTTTTTCGACATATCCTTAGTGGACGGGTTCAATATCCCGATGGAGTTCAGTCCTGAAAATTCGGAGGGCTGCACTCGTGGCATCGAGTGCACGACGGATATCAACGGGCAGTGCCCGAACGATCTGCAGGCCCCGGGAGGGTGCAATAACCCGTGCACGGTGTACAAGACCGACCAGTATTGTTGCAATTCGAGGAACTGTGGGCCCACAGACTTGTCGAGGTTTTTCAAGCAGAGGTGCCCGGATGCGTACAGCTACCCGAAAGACGACCAGACGAGCACCTTCACTTGCCCAGGGGGCACCAATTACAAGGTGGTTTTCTGCCCTTAGAACGAGCTAGCGAGACTTGGTCTTAAACTGTAATGACATTTAGTAATGTCCCTAAACTTCACTAGCTAGGTACCAGCTAGCTAGTATATGGAGGTGCTTTGAATAAGGATTGAAAATTTAGATAAGTTATAGTTATGAATATATTTATGTAATAAAGGGCATCTTGCTATGTGTGGGGAAATCTATACTTATATAAAAAGGGATCCTATTTACTACAAATAATATCTAGAAAAGTCAACTACAATTAATGCTATTACTATTTCCAGCATGTATTTTATTTAATTAGTTTATATTGAAACTAATGCTATGCGATTCAATTAATGCTATTACTATTCCCATACAATCGGTTTTCCTGCGAAAAAATCTCACAAAATCGTCTTTAATTTTTTGTATATTTGAAATTTCCTTCTTATCTTCTGTTTGTTTTATCCCATACAATTCGTTTAGTCAACAAAATCTCATAAAATCGTTTTAAACTTTTTGTAGATTGAAATTCTTATAGTTGACCTTACCTTTGGGAAACGCCCTTAGGGTATTTTTGTCACAAAAAAACAGTGTATGAAATTTATAACCAAAAACTCCACAGGCACTACCCATATTAGAAACTTCTTTATGAGATTCATACATCTATCTACCTATATCTATGCTATTATTAGAGGAGTAATTTTGTAAAAAATGAACAGATTAAAATGACCTTATATTTGATATTTTTAATAAAAAACATTATAATCATAAATAAAAAAACAATATAATAGGATTTTTCCAAGTTAATATTATTTATAATCATAAATAATATTTGATGTTTTTAGGTTTTAATTTTTGACCAAGGGCTTTCTCGAGCCACTACGAGCTAAAATCAAATGTACCTAAGGAAGGTTCTACAAAGAAAAGACGAATTTTCAAATGAGAGATATTGGAAGGTAAGTTTTCAAGAAAATCATCTCAGCTACAAGCAATCAAGTAGATCGAGCCCTCTTGCATCTTGAGGCTCTAACAATAAAAGAAAAAATTGATATCAAGGGTATGAAGCTTTGCTATGGTTGAGGATCATAAAAACTACCACTATTCGAATAGGATTAGGACCGATCTGATTTAAAGGCATGTGATATGAACTGCCTAGAATAGGAGCGCTTTAAAGGTATAGGTGTTTATAAGTGGTTATAAGGAATCTCAGGGGACCTCGCCTTCTGGTTCATCTATAAGGGTTCTGGTAGACCTAATAGACTGAACTACGCGAGGTGCAGGGATGATGGCTAGAGATTGATCATAATTAGGTGTGTTCGCAACAGTACTGTTAATTGAGTAGAATGGTGAAGGATCTAAAAGAAAAAACAGAGAAATAAAAATAAAGTAGACGAAAAACAAGAATGCAGAAATAATAATAATAATAAAAAAAAGTAGAAAAGAGAGGAAATATAAATTGTACAAGTATGGAAGGTGGCCGTGAGAAGAGCAACAGAAACAAAGGATCATCATCAGAATAGGGTAAAGAAACAACCAAAAATTGCACAGGAAATTCAAATGTTTTTACTTACGTAGAAGAAGTTCAGGGCATGAAAAAAGTTTGATTGAAAAAAAAGGGGCGGGATTTTATAGATTGGATCATAAATATTATGAGCAGCTAGGATGAGAGTTGCATGCATAGAATACGAAGCATCTTACAGATGGGACAAACGAAAAGACAAGTGCGGCGTACGAGGTACGTTTCAAGAGCTAAGGTCGGATAAAACCTCTTTGAAATTACTTTAATTATTATTATTATTATTATTATTAAACAAGTTTATTTAGCTCAGAAAACAATAGCTCGCTTGATAATGAGAGAACTAGATGATATAACATATTGAGTAGCTTGAATGGACCGACCAATAGTTAGCTTAGTTGAGTCGTCCCTCATGTAGCTTGGGCGATGATCTTGATTATCTTAGGTGAGCTATCATTTATGTAGATCGGGTAACTTGGCTATAACATCTAGTAACTCGGATATAGGTGGGGACCTCTTGATAACACGTGCTATGGCCAAGTTAAGGATAGAGTACACATGTAAACCTACTAACAATATATTAGGCCGATCTGAGGACAATTTTATGCATGAAGACCTATGAAAAATAGGTCGATGGACCTGCTAATAGCATGTATATGTAAGGGATGTAAGGATAATAAATCAGTGGACCTACTGATCATGAACTTATGAGCAGTTTTTTTTTTTTTTTTTNTAATGAACTTATGAGCAGGTAACATAATGAGACTTATAGACATATGGATATGGTGGACCTATGGGTCATGGGCGCGAAAGACCTGCTGACATTATATTTGATAGACATGTGGATAATAAGTTGGTGGACCTACTGATAGTGTACACGTGGAGTGTTATCTAGGAAAGATCTAGACTATATAAGAAATAGGAATGAGTTTCGGGGAGACCTCACAGGCAATAAGATAACAGTCGGGCAAACTTTAGGGCAGCCTAAGCACTCGATCAGTAGGATGGGACAGAACTTGGGCAACAAGTCAAGAGTTCACTATATATAAGTATTATGTTTGAAGGGGTAAGGTTACCCAATCTAAGTTTTACAATGTCCTTACACATATTCTGTTATTTTATATTCCGAGAACAAATTTGATCGCCGGAGATCTACCGCAAAGATCACTCCCAGGGACGGATTCAACATAGGCCTGGGCTGGGCTGAAGCCCAGGCCCATGTTTTTTTTTTACACCTATTAACTTCAAATTTTTTTTTTTTTTTTTTTATTTCAACCTAGCCCACCCAACCAAAACAATAATAAACAAAGGCCCAATTTCCCTACCCAAATCTGGCACTTCCAATGGACTTCCAACTTATTATACTTATTCAAATAATAATTAATAAGTTAATATAACGGCTATTTCCTAATAAATCCCTAATGCACATTTCAACTTCCTTCTCAGTCTCTACCACTTTTAAATTTCTTCTGCACTCCCTAATACATATTTCTCTTTCCTCTCAACTCCCCATATAAATACTAAAATTATTATTATT